AACCTTCAGAAGCCGCATCGGTGATCGAGTGCTGTCTAGCCCACGCTGATGTAGCGTAAAGAGCTGACGCACAAACGGCTGATGCTACACCGGAGGTCAGAACTAACCCTCCTTGGGGAATCGGGAGAGTCTGGAAATGAACTTAAGACCTTAGCAGAAAAAGTTCGGATACCGTCGACTCGGTTGAGTTGTCTTCATGTGGATCATCGAGACTCGCTGTGACTACTGTCGAGGTTCCCTTGACGCTTTCCGAGGTAGAAGGAATTGACGATAACTCCATATCGCGCACGGCATACAAAGAGCTACTTGGTCCACTGGCAGTCGTACCTGTACTGAGTCATGGTGATTCCCTCATTGGACGCATAACGAACTCATGTCCGCTATCGAGACGTCTTTGCTCGACCCCGCTGGTTGGGTATCAATATAGTAGCTCGGAATGTAGATATCTTCGCCAGGGAGACTTTCTATACTACGCGAATACCTGTCGTAAAGTCTTCGTCAACAACTCTGTGAAGTCGACTCACAACACATCGAGGTTCGAAGCTAGCAATGATCCAGCTTGCGACGGGGCTGACACGGGGTAATATATGTCCTGACAATGAGGAGTCGAATGATATGTCCAATCGTGATGGTGAGATGTTTGTTCAACCATCGGAACATCTCATCGGAAGTACTTGGTCGGCAAATGCTCTCACATCAATATAAGACTTAGTGAGACCTTTATAATTCTTGAAGTCTCCCAAAAGGTAGTCCATGGCTGATCGGACATATCCGCGCATCTGGCCAAGGAGTTGTGCAGTTTAAGACAAGGGAATGATACCTTGGAGATCCCGTCTTGGTTATCCTTCTTAACCTCATCATTGTCCTCTCGCCGTCTCCATCTCGTATGAGCCGCGGGATATCCGTGGTCAGCTGCTGCAGCCATCGTTGATGGACTGAAATGGAGAAAGGTTTCGAAGAGTGTCGCCTGGGACGCGCGCGATCAGCCGTATAAGTTTCGAAAATTTGAAATTTTGGTTCAACTCGTGTCTTGAGCGAGCGTATCGTTTTTGAAGGTAGTTCATTGAACAAACAGTGTGATCAGTAAATATTATCCTGGCATTTCAATGAAGACCTTCAAGAAGCTAGTCACAGGGCGGCACAAGTCGATGTCTTCTCGTGAAAAGAAGGCTCTCCGTGACAACACAGACGGCTACGATCCAGGCGGATACCCGTGGCAGGACCTAGCCCTTCTGGCTAATAACACTGCTGGGTAAGCGGGGTTTGATGGCGGCAGGGACCAATTGAATAATTGAGTGAAGTACAGTTGACTTCCTTGCAGTGTACGTCCATTCAGTCACAGAACTAATGAAATCGTCCAGGGTTCCACAAGCGCGCCTATTTCCGGCTCAGGGAGATCAACTTCTCTCTTGGGGCAGCTATGCCACCCCGAGATATACCTCAGTGCAATTTATCTCGGGTATATTTGCCAGGCGATGTGAGTCACATCTTATGCCTCCTTATTGCCCTCAACTTTTCCTATGGGGCAGCTATGCCATTCCGAGATATGCCTCCTTATTGCCCTCAACTTTTCCTATGGGGCAGCTATGCCATCCCGAGATATGCCTCCTTATTGCCCTCAACTTTTCCTATGGGGCAGCTATGCCATCCCGAGATATGCCTCAGTGCAGTGAATTCCGGGCAGCTATGTCGCCCAAAATAATAACACTCGGTCACCTAAATTTCACCTTATGTTGCCCAACGATAGGTTTTTTACACTCAGTTCCTCCAGTGGGGCAACTACACCAGCACAAAAGGTGCCTTGGTGTAATCATTTCCCCCTGGGGCGGCTATGCCACACAAAGTGACCTTCAGTTTACTCCGCTCCTCCCGTGGGGCAACTATGCCATCTCAAAATGAGGCTTGATACAGTCTATTTTTTAGGCGCTCGCCATTACAAGGTAAATCCCGTCACCGTGACCGAAATGAGTTCATTCTCGAGGACATCCAGCGATCAATCCAGTTGTTATTGGACTGGTTGTTATTTTCTCGAATGACTTTTACCGGTTTTGAATATGGGGATGAGGTTTGAGAATTGTACACAACTCGACCGAGAGCTTTTGTAACTATGGTTCCTACATTCCTAGCCATCGATGGCGAATCGAATTTTGAAACTCCCCAAAATCGAGTACAATGGGGGAGGTCGGATTTCATGGCTAATGCTTCTTGAGATCCTGAGGGATTCTCCCTGACAGATTTCAGTGAGAATATAATTCTCAACTAAACAGACTTGATTTTCTTATCCTTCTCTTCATGTTTAGGTCAACTTATCCGGATCCGCACAGTATTTCATCGAGCAGTAGAGCGAGGGATATTGATGTCACATCTCGGATAGATTTCGGGGAGGCAGAGAGGCGAATACGGCAGCTCACTGAGTCTCAGGATCCAACGGTACGGAAGCTCTACCGAAAGTGCACCATCCTGATTCTCGCTGAAGGTTCAAGCGCATCAAGCGTTCATTGAGAAGTGCCCTGCAATACAAGATGAGATGAAGAATGACAGTTTAGTGAAAGCAGCTTCTAGTGTAAAAGCTAATTCGGGATCGATAGCGCATCATCACATAGGTGCCGACGGAAGTAGCGGTTGAAATGATAAAACAAGTCCCCTCCGTGAACAGGGTCCGTTACCGACTGGTTCCGTCGAGGATCAAGGAGGATGATTTCTGGCAGAGATACTTCTATGCTATTCTACTGATATATCGCGAAGAGACATCCTGGGATGATTGGAACCATATTGACTCGAGTGCTCCTAGGAAGGATTTGAACCCGGGACCTCGATCTGACGACCATGCTGAAACCGATAGGCACCCAGTCGACCTACTCGAGTAGGCACTTTTCTGATTGCTTGTGTTTTTGATACCGACGAGGGCTTAGGCAGCTTGCGTTCATATGCCCAGTAGGATGGAAGCGAAACCACGACTCGTAGTCCACGAGTCGTAGGCCGCGAGTTTTTCGTTTGCAAGCTTGTTCGAAGTTGCGTGCCTCCGGCGAGTTTGGAGATATCAGTATCGTCTGCATTATGCAAGTTAAGTAATCTTCATGTCCCTGAGGCGGGCGCGCATTGATCTTCTGCCGATGACTAGGCCGACAGCAGCCATGCGGTGGGCTAAGAAAGACCCAGTGAGACGCGTGCCTGCCTTAGATAACGTCGATGGTAGCGGCGTAGTTCTTCAGGACGACCAGGTGAGCATTAAAGGCATTGTTCCAAACATTGCTCATTACATGAGATTTTCTCATAGTTACTGTCCCGCTTCCACACGCCACATCAGTTATCTTCACTATTGTCGAGCATTCTGCATCGGTCTGATCTTCGAGAAGATCCTCGTGTACTTCGAAAATTCGAAGGCAAGATATCCGTCCGGCTCCTTTCCTTCTCGCATCTAGAGCTCTCGGATCTGCTTTCGTGCTATGCTCGTCATGATCACTGCGTTGGGGCCGAGTTAGCTGCGGAGATATGGAGCATAATCTCCGAGGAACTCGTGTACATGGAGGCTCCTCTCGCTATCAACATCATAACGCTGGCGTTGGTCACGTGTGGGCGACACGTTAGCCTTCTTGACGAACATTGGAATACACTATTGGCGGTTCTTCCGACAGTTGAGCCCCAAAATCTAGTCAATTTTGCTGCGGTTGTCGGACGGCTTCAATACCCGAACGAGTTCATGACAGGTCTTCGCGAGAAGGCAATTGTCTTGATGTCAGAGGGTCGTTTAGATTCCTACCAACAGGCTCAGCTGGCCCTCGCTACTGGTTCACCCCTTCCATCCGACTGTACTATAGCGTCGTCTCTCCAACTAGTGGCTGCACTTGCCTGGGATCTGACATTGCCTGTTGGTAGCCTGGAAACAGCGCGTGCGGCTAGCTTGAGAGCGACTCCGAGACAGGCCCAAGATGCTCTTTGGGGTTATGTTGGCTTGTGTGAAATTAACAGTGAAGTCGGCGATCCTGATTTAGGGGCGGTTCTTCATCGGAGATCAGAAGCAACCGAGTGGTCGAATCCTCTGGTTAAATTTCAGACGATTCTTGGCGTTCGAAACTTGTGGGGAATTGATCTTGGGGTTCCTGCTGAGGCGCCCACTCATCATGCTATGTTTGGAGTCTCCGAAATACCATCTGTTGGGAGGTGGCAGAGTAGCTGTAAGCTAGCTTGTCATCACGTTGATACTTACAACGACGCTAAAGCCTTAGCTGGCGATGTGTTGCGTAATAGCAGTCCTGAAGAACGTGCGTTTGCAAGAGTCAAATGTGCCCAAATCAGCCGGATGGAGGGTGTTTCTCTTAAACAATTCCGGACGCCCGATGAACTCCTTGAATGGCGCGAGACCGCATGATGTGAGTGTTTCCGATTCTGATGGTTGTTTTTTTGGTCATTTTGGGCGTGCGCTTTTGTAAGTGCGCAACTTGTGTTTTCCTGTTTAGGATAGTTGTTGCGCTGCAGGTCACTTTTTCTTGGGCCATATTCCTTTTCATATGTCCAAGTACGCGATACGAAACACCTTCATTCATTTAGAGAAGCGATCGAGTGCTCGGCGTAGCAAGTCTTGTGAGGTGCCTAGAAAAGGTAAGTTCGCCTGTCACCTTCGCAAAAGCTTGATTGACCATGACCTGTATCTTCTGTCTTAGATACTCCTTGTGGTGATGACTCGTGTAGTGAGAACGGTGCTGAGATCAAAGCTCGACGAGGACGAAGACTGTCATCATCGCCGCGGAAAACGACTACTGGAAGTGCTCCGTCAGATGTTAACGCTCGCTTCGATGGCGGTTATTCGGTGGTCATGACTCTTGTACGGTCACTGGGCTCTCTAGGCCATACGGATAAGCAATGCCGGCCGTGCATCTTCTACTACGGCAAGGGTTGTTCTCGAGGTATTGAGTGCATGTATTGTCATGACTGTCCCCCACCTAAGGGCTCCTTGCAAACACAGCAGCAACTTGTGGGCCTTGGAAATGAATTCTCAGGACCCAAAGCTCATTTTATGCAAGATACTGGTGGAATACAAGAACCTTATCTCGGTCGGTTTGATTCGAATGCACTGCCCTTCTCATTTGGTTTGCCCGACATGGGGGATTTCCATGGCAATGGGCATCTCTGGCTGTCTCCTCCTACCGACTTGTCATTCAACGATTCACCCATGTGTCATGATCCCTTCTCATGTGTTAGACGATGATGTTATTTTTGACAGCAGTGGGGTCACTCCACCTAATTTGACTGGAGTTATCATGAATGGTGATTGAGAGGCGGGCTGGGGATTCATTTCCGCTTTGCGTTCAGTGAAAGAAGGTATGTGACGGAGGCATATATCGACGAATTTGCCAGTGAGATGAGGGTGGTCGTTTTCTGCAGGATGGTTGAGGGGAACAGTTCAACGGTGGAATACTGTTCATGAAAAACTATACGCGCACCGGTTTTCCTGCGCGATATTATCGCGAAGAAACAATAACATACCTCCGAGGTGTGTTCTCCTGGTACCCTCTCGATTGCTTTCGGTGAGGATCCGCTCCGTATCAAAGCACTAGTGATACTTGTGCCAGTGTTTGACTATCGTCGACAACATGACTCGCCTAGCTATTGCTTGAAACTACAAATTTCAACGTGATGCGAACGATCCTGTGCCCGAAGGTTGTTCTTGTGGTTGCATCCTCATGGACTAAACTCGCTGCCATCAAGGTCATGAAGAGTAGGGTAGAGAAAACTACTTGTATCGAATTTGTGTCGAATGATGGAAGATGCCGTAGCTCGGCCCGGGAAGCAAAGCAGGCGCTCCGTTAATGTCACGTGCGAGTACAGCGAACATCGGTAGGGATAGAATGAAATCGGGTCGCAAGATAGCGCATGACTCGTGTGGCACGATCGTACTGTCGGAGACTCGCTGCTCCGCTGAAGCGGAACCAAAAACCAGGTAAGGCTAAACCGATCCGATCGGTCCGACCGTCTCATAGAGTTGTCATATATGCACGAAGCATAGACGTATCTTGTCTACGGGTGGAGATAGCTCCTCATCCTGGACCACGATTCCTCGTTAACGGCAAATTTTTGTGCTGCGACTATAGTGGTTTGAGTGTTGTAGTGAAATTTTACAGACACGGATAATATCATCTTAGATAATAGATGTCGTCTACTATACCCAAATCGCCATTAACAAATCCAGTAGATTTATCTACCATTGGAATCATTAGAAGTTGCCTTGACTTCTACCAGTAGTTTCCAGGACCCACCTGGACCCAAGTTTGTCGGCGTCGTTCTCAAATTTATTTGGCTGTGAATCGAAGTGCTTATCTTGTGCTTTGAAGACCACTAACGTACCAGGTACATTTGCCAGGTGCGTTTCATAAAATTCATCCACTTCATTGTTTGTCAGGACGAGGCAAACGCATTTGAATGTAAAGGAGACATTGAACAATCCTTACATGGTTATATAGGACAGGAATCCTGTCACAGGATGTCTGATACAGGGATTTGAATTACAGGGTTGTGAATTGAACCCGTCTGATTTTTCTTCGAAATCCGAATTCAATTCGGGTGGTCTGAATTTCCACATGTATGTCAGATATATCTATGCCCCTCCGATCCTCGATAGATTCTATTTCGGTCTCCAGCCATGCCAAACGATCGATGTCGGCTTAAATCCAGTCAGAATATTTTCCACCTAGTACTTGAATAAAGCATCACGACTCTTGTGTGCAACAATAACTCAATCCGCCATAGTGTCAATAATCCTGTTAGCGTTAATCTGAGAGTAGATGCTTTGCAGTCCACAAATCAATGGACTCAACGTATTCACCAGACCATCCGTCGAGTTGGCAGCTCGCAGTCGTCCTTTCAAAATGAAGAAAGTGTATTCTATGCGAGTAAGATCTGGTGATTAAGCCCCCGGGATCCTGTAGATAACTGCATGTGGTCGCAGTGATGAGGAGTTTCTGGCACTGGAAACGGCTTCAACCCCCCCATGATTATCGGCCATTATACTACACTAGGTACGATTTCGCATCGTCTATGTAACTTATGGCATCTGCTCTCCAGGAGCAGAATGACGGTATCCTTCAAAAAGTGGTACTTCTCTTGTCTTGAAGGCGCAAGGATAGGCTGTTCATTTAAGGCGAGCCCTCCAACCAGTTCAACCCTCCCTCCAACCTCTCAGCCAGTACTACCAGTACTGAATCTATTCCGTGTAGTGAGATGCAGTGACTCCAATTGCGTGCCGTGACGACGAAATTTTTTCGAGAAGTCTTCTTGCGATGTCTCACAAACCCCTACCCTGCCGAGTTGCAAGAAGTCTCCACAAATAAGTGTTGGTACACCGGCAAATGGTTTTTGATTGTCGTTGCTTAGGTGTTAAGAAACCTCGCTGATGGTACAGGGAACAGTACTATGCATAGTAGAGATTTCAGATGACCAAAACCAAATCCGCCGCGGCGACCCTTCTGCGTCTCGCTCTCTTCGGACACTCCATCATCCTTTCGACGAGCTCCTCTTCGGGTCGCATATCCTTCCGACCAGGTTGAATTTCAACCGTTGACATCGTAGTTTGCTCCGGTACAAACTCTGTCTAATGATTTGAACGCGGCTTCTTCCTACCGGCTCATCGTTGACTATGGTAGTCAAAAAGACTCAAGAGACAGTCGATGCCACCATTTTCGGATAGTGAAGAAGCTTGCCAGTAAATAACCTGAATACAGCAGATGAGCAATGCAGCATACATATTGACAGCTTACGCTCGATAACGCTGGCGGATCTTGGGAATGCGAAACACTAGCACTACTGTCGACCCTGCGAAAGAAGTCCTTCGAGTCGATGAGCGTGATGTTTGCACGAGGGCAGAACTAGAGGCCCATCAGATGGGGCGGGGCTGTGACACAGCCGATGTGTGATGAAAAGGGTGACGCAATTAATATCATCGCGGCCGTACACCGCGAGGAAGGCGGATGAGAGCGACCGTAGACCGTTTGGGGGGGAGTGAGCCGCCCTCGGGCGTTCAGGGGATAACAATGGTGGCGGTGAACCTGGTCTTTGGTGAGAGGAGGCTCATAGAATGCTATGTAGAGGCTCTACAGTAGAGCTACCGCCAGACGCACAGTGTCTGGCAGCACCAGCGGTGCTGTGTTAAGCAAGTAAGCCCCGTATACCCACCCACTGCAAGGTAGGCAATGAAGGCTCAAAATATAGTGACAAGACATAGAAGTAGAGTAATAAGTCATCATTGAGCAACAGTAAGCTATCAGTGATAGCCTATAACCCCTTGAACGGGTCTTCTTGCATCGCGTAATATCGGGCACACTGCAGGTTCAATCTGCAGTTATAGGCGATTTCTGTGACCAATTTTTGCCCCCCCCCACGGAGACCCCTGGCCGGGGATCGAACCTGTGCGGATTTGATGCACTGGGGTCTCCAAACTTTCGGGTCGAAAGTCTTGTAGCTTGAACTCGATCTTCCAATGTGATGCCTGAGATCAATGCACGCCCCATTTGAATCGCTTTTGAATTCAAAACCCACTGACCTGGAGCCGATTAAAGTGCTAAGGCGTTCCGAGTTCCGAGTCCAAGTACTCGGTTACCGAGTTCCGAGCCTTGGAAACCCCACTCCGAGAGTCCACGGATTAAAGTGCGATACCTCGGAAAAGTCGATTTCCCGAGGGCTTTTTCCGAGAACTCGGACCGAGTCACTTTCCCCGAATTAAAGTGCACAACGGCATCACGAGCTCGGTCTCGGAAAAAACACGTAACTCGGAAACACTCGGAATCTGTCACTCGAACTTAGCTGCTCTACTCTGCTCCACTCGAATCGCTGCTGTTGGCAGTGGCACAGATAGAGTATGCGAAGAAGAAGACGGAGTATTACGACTTGTTGTGCATGAAGTTGAGGAGTGAGATTGCATTCGGCGAGGCTCTGGGTCAGTTTGCTATCGATGGTGATGGCCGTGCCTGAGCCAATAATGTTATTGAGAATAACTTATTGCACGTAGCTTGTATGTATTTGAGGTGGTTTCTGCTACCTTGGCGCATGGTTGCGTTTTTCCAAGCTCGGATCCAAATTTCCGGGAGTTCAAAGACCCTGAAAACTTTTCGAACTTGGAACTCGGAAAGCTCAGCACTTTAATCGAAAATCGGAAAATGGCTTCACTCGGAACCGAGTGTATGCAATTCCGAGCTCGGAAAAAAGCTTGGAATTTTGAACGCACTTTAATTCGTAGTTTTTATCCGAGCTCGGAAAAGCCGCTTTTCCGAGAACTTGGACTCGGAAATCAGAGCACTTTAATCGGCTCCTGGCGCGTGTCACTCTCGTAATGGCTAGAGGTGAGGATAAGGCGAATATTCTGCCTTCCCCGGAAGGAACCTATGGGACTGTGAAAACCTCTCTGTTCTGCATAAGCGGTATATTGGTCTTCGAAAGGTTGGAGTACACCCAGGGGATCTCTGGGGAGGTTGCCTTCGATAGAAGAGGTTAACCGATGCGGTTGTCTTACCAATGGTGACATCCGTCTCGGCCGCCGGTCTGCATGAGCGTGGTTTTCTACTTGTGTTTGTGCACAAGTGATCGTTGTTGATACATATATCAACCTCAGGAGTGCTTTCTGATGACAATCCTCTGCTTAGTTCCCAAGCCACGATACTTCCATTATAGAAGTCACGGCTGCCGGGGCGACTTCGGAGAGAACAAGCCACCTTTTCTTCAGAGTTTCCTATCAGCTTCTCTGACGTGTGTGCTCGTACGATCACTTCGTGAAGTTCTGTAGGTAGAACTTAATTTCACTTGGTAAAAATATTTTTTATAAACAGATCGTGTTGTTTTAGGTGGTCTTCATCGCGATACATTTTTGCTTTACGGTGGTGTACTGATCATCTTTACTTTTGACGCTCATACCACACCTTTCCCAACTCTTAGACTTCCTTCAAGATGTGATGGAGACCTTCATTTTCGAATGGGTCCTCTCGTGAGGGCCGATCAGAGGTAATAACGCCTTCCGTTTCTGCATTCAATTTGCCAGAGATCGAGTCACATCATCAGGGAGTAGTAGTTGTCAGTCTTGACCCCGCTAACTCCTTTCTCGGTCGAAGCCTAGGGGTTCTCATCTCTGTGGAATATCTACGGCGTCGATCCCCTGGACGCAGTTGTCTGTGGATGGTAATCCGGGGTTATTAATGCTCATAACGTCGTTAATTGAAGTTGGTGCGGTTTAAAATGCACTGAAGTTTTCATGTAATTCAGAGAGATGAAGAGAGAGCATTAATGGGCGTTCAATACCTGAAATACCTGAATGCTTTCGTGTATTTCATTTAAATGGTTAAAATGGAATACATGAAAACTTGGTTTAAATTAAAGCAGTTAGGGCTAACTCAAGTTGCTCGAGTGTCGACCCGGAATGTTAGGCTTGTACTGAACTGACGCACAGACTAATGACAAACACGGTCATCGTATTGTGAATTACAAGGGGTGATGTGTAATTCACATTATAGGATGATCGCCGTGTATTATACAAGTTCGGGTCTCACATTGTAAGTATGAATGCCAGACCTCTACTGCCCTCTAACAAGGCTGCTGCGTGACGGATTCGGAAAGGTAGTCAGGTTGGCGATAGGAGGACGCCCAAATGCTTTGACGCTACCCGGAGGTCAAATTGGCAATCACATTCCGGGGAAGCTGCCGATCCTTGGCAGTAGAAATGGAATCGTCTCTAAAGCGGGGTAGAATGATGCAGCTAGTTACTGCAGTCCGAGTGCGTCGCTCAATCGTGACGTTTTAACCCATCTATAATCTCCCTAACGCAAGTGTGATTTCTAGAATATGCGCAGGTTCGAAACCTGGCAGCGACATCTCCTGTTGATAATTGTTCACAAACTGTTCTCATTCCTCGGAATTTTCATTTTTCTTTTAATAATGGAGTTTTACCCGTTTTACGTGAAGTGGCGTAAAACGCGACATTCGCGCCTTGCAATAGTCATGAAATATGTTTTTCACTAGTGTTTTGCATATCACTAGGGTGAAACTCTAATGCTCGGTTTCTATTATCAAGTAGGGCCAGGATAGCATAATGCTGTGTTGGCATCGTCGTAGGTCCTCTGAAATTTGATAGTTGGTACCGCTTTCGAGGATGTGTTTTTTTGGAATATACGTTCGTTTTCCACCGCTGAGCTCGGGAGTAAAAATTCAGCATGAGGAATGCGCAGAAACTAACGGGAATTTCTCAAACTGTCCTCAGGATTTTCATATTGTTAGCAGCGCATGTAGTTCAGAGAATCAACCTATAATGTTCCCGAGGGGAACTCATTTTGAATTTTCCACGGATGGCTAGGGACACATTCTTCAATCAGCTCCCCATGTGAATGTCATTATCACATTAGCTACTTTTTTCCCATTGTTATCAAACCCTGAGGAACGTCATTTGGTGACGCTAAATGGGTCCTTGGTGTAGTTGACCATGTGCATATTTTCTCACTCACGTGCTGTTGTTTCCTTTTGTGATGAAAGCTGATTCTGTTGTGTTTCGAACCAACGCTGACTGTTTATTATCAGTTGAGAAGAATAACGGTGGGAACACTGATTTCCCCATTTCTTTGTATATGGCTGGTAAGTGTTTAGGGTACTTCAACAACAACAAGAAGACGACGAATGCGTTGAGCGATTCGGAGAGTTTCACCCAGGAGGTGACCGTCTCCGAGACTAGTACCACTACTATTACCACCAGCAATACTTCTAAGCCAAATTCTGACTTCAAGACTGTTCCCGAAGCACGAGGGGGGAAGTGCAGTAATCTAAGGTCTGTATTTAATCTCATTCTGACAGCAATTGGTGAGTATTTCACTGAGTTGACGACGACGCCTTAATGCGTGTTTTTAGGCATCGGCGTTATTATGCTACCGACGACATTCGCCAACTGCGGCTGGTTTGGTGGTCTCCTTATCTTGTTCGTGGTTGCTGTTATCTCTAACCATATGGTTGGGAAAATTTATATTGCCTACACTAGCCATCCCCAAGGAGAGGCTATCAATACTTACGAGCAGTTGGGATATGTTTGCTTCGGTCCGGCAGGAGCCATTGCTACTGCCGGAATAGTGCATATTACTATGACTGGTTGCTGTTCTACCTTATTGTTGTTATTGGGAGAAAATACTCAGAAGTTGATCCCAATGGCTGGGTTATCGAGTAAAGTATGGTGTTGTATTTGGGCGGCTATATGTTGGCCTCTTACGTGGCTTAAGTCACTGAATGAAGTCTCATACGTTTCCGCCTTCGGTATGGCTGCACTCATTGTTCTCTTTATCCTCATTGTGGTCAACGGGATCACTAACGGCATCACCACTGAGGAGGAGAACTCCTATGATTGGTGGATATGGAATCCGCTTGAGTTCGGTGTTTCCTTCGGCAACGCTATGCTTTCATATCATGTCACGAACGTATTGGCCACCCTTATTCGTGATATGAAAACACCAAGTGCATTACCCAAAGTCGCCACTATCTCTTATCTGTGCATTTTCGTGATATATGGCGGAATTGCAGGTTGTGGATATTTTGGTTACGGCAATACGCTGGTAGACGTTCCCATTATCGATCGTATTGCTCCTCCCACAGGCGGTCTTGATGCTTGGGGTTATATATGTGTTATCTCACTTATCTGTCTCTGCTTCCCACACTACATCGTACTATTATTCCCTATTGCGGCTTCGTTGGAGTATCAGTTACTCCCACTACCTCCGTTTAAAGTCGATGACCCGGAGGACGCAAAAGGGACGATACCAACAGCCAAGCGAATCGTTGTACGCACTTTCCTAGTGGCGATTACGCTTGTCATTGCTATCGTTGTGCCTAGTGTCCAGAAGCTTATTGACCTACTCAGTGTATTCACTATGACAGCTATGGCTGGTATACTCCCCGGTGTGTTCTATATTAGAATGCGTGTCCTCAACGAAGGATCGTTCATGACTGTATGGAAATCCAGCAAAGTCGAGCTGTCTATTCTGTTCCTTATGATGGCTTTGAGTGTGTTGATGATAGTAGTAGGAGGATACGAGTCCATTGTCACTTTCTAGTATTCTCTATCTCGTTTCAAGTCCAGCATGGTTGATACGCTTCTTATTGAGCGTAATAGATTCCTATATCGTTACTGTTTCTTCTATATTTGCTTCCCTTCGGTGTCTTGCAGTAGCCTTCACTCGGGCTGCCGCATTTCGAAGGGAATGGGAGTATCGGATGATGATTTCAGTGGCACCATAAGACGGGTTGTGTTGTGATAGAAAGGGGACTATTCCACTCATTGGGTGTAAATGAATACAGAGCAATGGTCATGCTATTTACCGTTTTACAATTCATCAGCTCTTCGACAAGGCTATCTTGATACTCCATGCAGAGATGTCCAAATGTCGAAGTTGAGCAATTCAACAACTCAACCTATTCCTGCCAGAATTCGATACTTGCCACAGCGAATGGACCGTTTCTAACGCTTAGGGTGTTTTTTCCTAAAACCTACAGGACAGAAATCCCTTGATTTTCGTCGGAATCGCTGCTAGTAAGCGCGTTTACAATGTTAGTTGACAAGCAACGAAGATGCGAGCTCAGATTCAGTTTTCAGAAAAGATTTGAGCAATACTGTGATATCGTCATTGGTATCAACGAAGACAAAACACTTGGAACACAACGGGTCGAAAGAATATGAAATATTCATCTTTATTGGCAGCAGTCAAGTATGTCAACAAATTGTATAGGAAATGCTAGACTGATAAAGTCGTATACGCTAAGACAGGGTTGAAGAGAGCGTAATTTTGATACGATGCTTGGTCCTCTCAGGATCCTCAGCAGCAGCAGACCTCGCAGAAACGAGAGGCCTGAAGCTCTTTTCGTGAGCATTCCGATCGTCTCGAAATGCACCCTACTCAGAGGCAGTGAAACCTCTTCTGAGGTGCGAGTCTCCATTCTTAGACGATTCATCGAGGGTTCTAGTCTTCCTCCGCTGTGAGTCATCGTCCATGGACTCGCCGGTATCTGCCAACGCGATGTCCATGTACCGCCGCCCTCGATTCAATCGTGGCTGAGAATCTTCAGGCTCCGACTGAAATTAACACTTCTATGGCGCAGTGACGGTGACCAATCACCTGTCCTAGATTTATAGTGATATGTTTAGTCGGTCTCGGTCGGGGACCAGCCTTAGTGACACCTGGTGTGAGATGTCCGGACTGCATACGCCGATATTGCCGTATTCGCTCATAAGTCTTCCGTCGAGCATCCAAGCTGCTGATATCCGAGCCCTTGGTACCTGCCTCCCACATAACTGAAGCGAATACAACACAGCTTACCTGGCTGGCCCTCATCACCAGGGGACGGTGGAACGAGCTGCTCCTGAGAGCTCGAGGACCTAGACATCTGATAGTAGTCCCTCATAGATGGAGTGTGTTGCAGGGTACGGTCACCACTGCGAGCCGACTTCAGCCAAGGTGAGGTCCCAGATGTGAGAGGATTGGTGACAGAGATCTGCTCGGCTGCGGCATCCTGTACGTACGACTTCACCAATTCAAACATGGTCTCTGGCGAGCTGCCCTCGACGGAGATTACAACACCCAAAAATAGTTCAATATTGTACATGAGTTCAGTGTCGCGATCAGAACCTTTCTGATGGGAAATTGTGTACATTTCTGTCAGCGTCCTGAAGTTACATATACGACGATGGTGAATCGACTGGACCAAGGTATCGTCTATATGCACTCCTGCCCTAGAGAGGTGATAAGGCAGCATAGGATGATCGCCAGCACACGTGGTGAAAGTTGGCGTCCATACACCGTCACAAGAGGCACAGGTAACTTCAACTCGATCGTGTCCCCACCAATACTTAGCACATTGCCAGAAGTCGGTAATACGCATACCACAATCCGGGCAATTCCCGCCGATGTCACAGAGTCCAAGGATATGAGGGCCCCGTAGGAATATCTTATCAGTAGCCGAGCCTCCAGCAGCAAGCCGGTCCAATACTCGCCAGAGCAAGTGAGATTTGGCTCGCCCAGCTCGTAAGTGCGTGACCGTCGCACTGACTAAAACTCCTCGTGCTCGGCGATGGGCCGCAGACACAAGCCCACAGTTGGGCATATTAGGAACTACTTTTGATTCTGATTCAACCTGCAACACGAATGACGATCAGTTTCCAGAAGCGTATTGCTATACCTGCAGACTCTGAGTCGCTCTCATGAGCCATTCAGTTGGCCGGGACTTCGCATCGATAGGGGATTCTGGTACTGGAGGATCGGGCGTTGACATCAGCACTGGTGGCGCCACATCGATGATCACGGGCTCATAGGCCCTCTTCACCAATAATAACAACTGGTTAGAAGTCCTCAGCGCTGCTGTTTTGACCCCCTCTGGTTGTCTGAGCAAGGAAGAGCTCAGCAGTAGCATCATCACAGTGCTTTCCTACTCGGACGATCCTGCGGCGATATCCCCATCAGCAGTTGCCCAGACCTGCATACAGCAGAGTACTGTTAGTGAAGGAGAGTCGATACTACTAACCTGGCAGCCCTTATCGAACACCCATGCCTTGGGAGTATCCACAACGTTGAGCAGGAACAAGTCGAACGTATGCGTACGATGTTGATCTAAGAAGAGGTCCAAAAATGGCTCCACGAAGAGCTTCCCGTCAGACTGTTCGTCCATGTCGCCTGGAATCTCCGGACTGTGCCCTGAGGGGAACCGTCATCAATGCTGTGATGCTGATGTATCGACCCACCGAGGAAGCCCTGTACATCGAAAGTTCGGTCTTCATCATCTCTCTTAGTGACGTACCTGAGAGCCTACATAGACTGGCTTGGCCCCCACGAGCTGGACTCACTGTTTATAGTTGGCAAACTGCCTGGTCATCGCCTCGAGGCACGCCGCTTGTACTCTCAATTTAAACTGGAATCTGATACCACACCTCGGTGAAATCACTTCTACTAGAAAGACGACCAGTGGTGACTCACTTGCTGTGATGGCGGGGCGTCCTCGTCCTACTCCGAATCGGCCGGTAGTCGGAGCTGTTCGTACTGGACATAGTCTGAGTATACGAAACAATTCCATTGTTGAGAGTGTTTATCCCCCAAGCCTAGTCCCAAAAAAGCGTATTAATAGTTCTCAATTTCTCTATCACTAATAATAGAGTACTCACCCCATGAGACCACCGACCAGCAGGGACAGGATTGGTCTGCGTATCATACGGGCTGAAGTAGGAGGACCAGAAGTCGTCCAGAGCCGCCTCTAGAGTGTTGGCCCCTGACCATAAAAAACGCGACATGTGGAATATGCACTACGCAGTTTGATGACAAAATTTTTCGTTAAATTTTCATACACTTTTACCCAAAGTCGTGCGTAAAATTCCGTACTGTAGCTTTAGAAACTCTCGAGCTCAGCTGTTAGTTATCACTGATTGTTGCTGTTGTGATTATAGTCTGATGCCTGCCTTAGGCTCAATCAGACTTTGATCATACAGCTGCATCTCCGAATAGAGCTCGTTAATCATTGGGTGAAAACCGAGGAAGTCGATCGAAGAGCCCACCTGGGTAGTCCTGACTGAGTATAGACTGTTCATCACTAGCAAAGGAAAAGGTAGACGCATTGAGATCAACTGACGCCCTGTCCCCTCTAGCTCTAGCCGCATACTGTTCTCGAAGGGCGTCCAGTCCCAACACGCGTGAGGCATCAGAACACAACGGTGGTAGTTGCCGTTTGAGGACCTGAGGAAATAGTCTATCAACATGGTATAGTAGTAGCAATACACTGGCCATTCCTAGGGGGAGGACAGGGAGAGGCGCATCGTCACCGCGATCGGCCCTTTTCCGTGCTGGGATAACCTTATCATCCTCCAGAAATCTGACAGATATGCAATGTAGAAAAATATGGCCCCTACAGTGGACCTACACTATATTCATATCTGGAATTTTCTCTAGCCAGGAGTAGTCCTCACCCGGAGGGATACAGGTTCCGAAAAATAGAGGGTACGGGCCTTGGACTAGATTCTTAGCTGCTGATAAGGGGGCGCAGGGGAGATACCTGATAGAAAGAATCAGTGTTGGAGTAGTGTATGTTCGCTTTCCTCAGCTACTGAGCTCAGGAGTCTCCTATACAGTGTTGGAAAAGTGTATGTTCGCTTTTCTCAGCTACTGAGCTCAGGAGTCTCCTATACAGTGTTGGAGAAGTGTATGTTCGCTTTCCTCAGCTACTGAGCTCAGGAGTCTCCTATACAGTGTTGGAGAAGTGTATGTTCGCTTTCCTCAGCTACTGAGCTCAGGAGTTTCCTATACAGTGTTGGAGAAGTGTATGTTCGCTTTCCTCAGCTACTGAGCTCAGGAGTTTCCTATACAGTGTTGGAGTAGTGTATGTTCGCTTTCCTCAGCTACTGAGCTCAGGAGTCTCCTATACAGTGTTGGAGTAGTGTATGTTCGCTTTCCTCAGCTACTGAGCTCAGGAGTCTCCTATACAGTGTTGGAGTAGTGTATGTTCGCTTTCCTCAGCTACTGAGCTCAGGAGTTTCACGACCGTGATATGAAAAACATATTTCAAGACTACTGCATAGTGCGAATTTCGCGTTTTTCACCACCGAGTTTTACGCCACTTCACGTAAAACGGGTGAAACTCCATTATACAACTTCACATGCAAATCCGGGGAGAAACCAATGAAAATTTCCCGAATTTTCCCCGAAATTTTCAGATGTTCCCTACACGTCGTTCCAGTCAAAGGGGTAGAGCATCGCTCTGATGCTTTCCAAAACGGTGGTCAGCAAAGTCCCACTGCGCTTCCTCGATACGACAGCCAGGCGCTGGTCCAGTAAAAGGCGTTCCAAAACGAAGATGATCGATTCTGCAGGACAGAACTAAGCGGGCTGAGAAGGTACTAAGAACCTTACGAGTCGAAAGATGTGCGAAAAGCGGTAGGAAATCCACGTCTCGAGTGAAGCCCAGACAACCGCCTTGCAGCGTCAACAAAGGGCCTAGACAAGACATAGTGCACCTCCACAAAGCTGAGAGGCTCACCGAGATTTCCGAGTAGAGATGTTGAAGTCATTGCCGAGGGAAGGTAGGGGTACACCACTGGAAGGGAATTCACCTACGAGGGGGATGATCCACTTGTCCTCAGGAGTGCTCTCACAGCATGGTAAACCGCCGAGATGAACTCCCTTTGAAGGGTCAATGCTGTTTCAGGCCTAAACGATGATTCGATGCGATTCTGCAGAGGACCAGATGGAGACATACTCGAATCGTCGTAGAGCTTCCGAACGATCCTGGGAGATTTTGAAGAGCTTTCCGAGGAGGTTACGATGAGCTGTCAAACACGGCAAAGTTGTAAAGAAGCCAATAGCGATGGGAGTGTAACTAACGAGAAGTAGGGCGAACTCCACTACTAAACTGAGTTACAATTTTGTGTCGTATGCGTCCAGATAGAGACTCTTCGCATCCAGAGGCTCATAGCCCAGTATTGCAGTTACGTAGAACATACTGTAACCAAGGTCCACCAAAACCTAAGAATATAGTGACATCATCGTTTAGGAGGGACCATACAAAGTTGCTGAGTTCGCATGCTGTTTTGTCCTTCTCCAAATCAGTGAGGATTCTCCCACCGAGTGGATAAAGCATTCTCGCTATCGCATCTCGAACTTGTTGCGCACTGAAGAAGATGAATAATTTATTTATTTTCATACCGCACCTACTTGAAGTAGTCTGTGACCTTATCACGTGTCGGTGTAGACTGGACAGGAGGGTAGCTGGCTCGTAGAGTCATCCTCCAACGATGACTCGTCAGCACATGAATAGCCGCAGTCTCGCTTTTCGTGCTGTCCCCAGCTGAAGATCTACTCCGATTCAAAGAGGTATCTTGAGGTCCAAGATGGTAAGATACAGAATAGGCCCAATTTCATACCAAGACCCCCCTCGTCATCTTTCTCTTTAGTCTCCTTAGTAGTCTTTGGAGCTGCCCTTCGAAATGTACTACGGACGGCCGCACTGAAATCACCATTACCATTGAGCACGAAAATTGTCTATTCTACACGAAGGAATCAATTGCTTTGCTTCCGCTACCTACAGCGTCGTCTTCCCCAGAGGCATCCTGAAAATTGAAAGTTTAGGGAATTTGGACACTAGTATGAACGTGGATATTCGTACTCAACAACTGAGCATGATGAACACAGTGTTGGAATATGATTTCGCTTTCCTCACCTGAGCTCACCTATCACCGTAATAGTATTACAATAGTTTGTATGTAAACTTCCGTAATAGTATTACGGAAGTGTACATACAAATTTTTGTTTAGAAATCAACCATAATTTCCCCAAATTTTCATATTCCTCACTGAGGCCCTACCGGTAGAGGTGAGCCCGAGAGCGGATGTAGATGGCCATCAGATGTATCCAAGCCCACTATAAAGACTCTCGATACAAACTCATAAGGTCTGGCCACGGTATGCTTGGGCTGAGCTGGCGACGATGCCTCCTCTTGATTGTCGAGCAGTGACGCTGATGACATCAGTTGAGACGCATTCGAAAGTACAAAGGAAACCTGGGAGTGTAGTACAGCATGTACGGAGCTGCTGAAGATGAAGATGATGAGAACCCAAGCGAGCGTTGCGAGGGATAGCATTGTGGTGCTCTCATTTTCGTACAAGTAGCCTTCGGAACAGCCAGGAGGGACACGCCGGGTTAATGTAAAACAGTGAAAGACTTCAAACTCGACACCATTTGTTGCAATGAAGTTTCACCAGTTTTACGTGAAGTGGCGTAATACTCTGTGAAAAACGCGATATTCGTGGTGATATGCAGTAGTCGTGAAATATGTGTTTTTTCATATCACTAGGGTGGTGAAACTCCAATAACATAGATCACGATACAGCGTGGGATGCTATCCGGCCAGCAAACTCCGGTCGGCAAATTATAAAATATCAGAACGCTTTAACAATTCCGTTAAACTCCCGCTGTGTAGATGCTAACTATCGTGTATATTCTACTAGACTCCGAAGGAGGGCTGTAACTACGACACGAAGAATGGCCATAACAGTAGCAATGCACAATTTGGCAATAACATCTTCATAAACTAACAACCACTACTACTACATAGTTCCACCTCACATGTAACTCTCATACGTTAGTGATGATATTCCAGCTCAACCCAGCTGGCAGTCCCTACTATTATCCTTCTAAACGCTCATCACAGAGGCTTCCGATTGGCACTCAAAACTAACAAGGGAATCCAACAACACTTCATAGAGTTGCAAAAATCACATCGCGACGGATCATAGTCAGCAATCATCTCAAGAAGTTCAGCATAGGAACTCCGCCACTAACAGGCTGATTCGAAACCCCCAACGCTCAAACTGCAAGGTCTGGATTTTACAATGAAAGAAATTCCACTACTAAAGTACGAGACAAACAAATCGCCTTGGTAGCAGCCACCCGAAGATTTTATCGCAGCTGATATGACAGTATTAGGAACTAAGTAGCTAGTACAGGAGCTCTTCACCATTTGTGTGCAGTGGGAAGTGCACCAGATTACCTTAAAACGGTAAACTGATTAATCACTCACAATAGTAATAACGATGATGATAAAAGTCCACTTACCCCTACAATGGAGTTTCACGACCGTGATATGAAAAATACTAGTGAAAAACATATTTCACGACTATTGCAAGGCGCAAATATCGCGTTTTTCACGGAGTTTTACGCCACTTCACGTAAAACGGGTGAAACTCCAATGAACAATTATTACAGCTAATATAAGTATTATATGAACAATACCCTATTATGAACTATCACTAATGGACGACTCCCTGGTCCAGCATAGTGCGAACAGCTGGGCTCAAACATAGGAGAATCAAATGCCTCAGCAGCAGTAGGAGGGCATTCAAAATTCCCTTACGAATAACGATAAATAATTGTGCATTGTGCTTATATTATTACTAACACATTTTTGCAAGAACATGATGATGAATGATATTCCCCGATACTCTCAAAATGCTGTCCAAGCCGCTTGAACTTATATACGACTCCAGGCACAGCTAGGCCCAAGCTCTAGTGAGAGTTCCCATCCTCGACTAGAGGGAGTCGCCGTGATTAGGAAAACATTTTGTGGCGCGCGAAATGGCCGATGTCTCGTCATGAAAGCGACAGAGCCGCCACGTGTGTAGTTGAACGCTCTATTGTGCTTCTAAGAACAACTAACATCCCTACAATTAGAAAATTTATCACAAAAAAAATTAAATTTTTCAAAATCGTCGTTGAAAAATTTCCTACACTTCATTTTCAGCCGATCAAGAAGCTGTGCCATTTGCAGTAGTTCCCATTCCCCCTCGAACAAGTGAACCCAATAGTGATCACCTTGAAGCCCTCCTCATGCCACATATACGACAGCTTTCTATCCTCTCCAGAAACCTCATCAGCAACGCATATACAGTGTGTAGTCATGCTTGCCACACTATCGTGATCATACTCTTCTACCGAAAAAGCTGAGGAGATCCACTACTAGGAAACACTGAGTGTCAACAAACTCACATGTATCGCAATTACCGCCACTCTGGGACCTGTAAGTTCGGGTGCTGCTGCTAGCGGAAACATTAATATATAAGAAATAACTCCATCTAAATTAATTTCCCCTTGTGAAACCAAACACATTGTCGTGTAGGAGACCCTAGGAAAATTGGGAAAACCAGTTTTCCACAAATCGTATGAGGTCGCCGAAACTGATATTCCTCTACTATACTCGTTCTATAAATACATGATAACGAATAAAAAAATGTCCAACGACAAACTGTGGCATTCTATGTCGAATGCTGTTTTCATACCATCCCTCCTCGAACGAGTACAACAATAGAGGAAAGGGCTGTATTGAAATTCAGTGCTAGTGGAATGTTATAGACGATGAAGAGCCTCGTCTACGAGCAGATATAAAACTTTATATTCAGTGGCTTCGACTCCGAATCCGTAAGAGATGTGCGCGAACACACCGGTACGTTAGAAGGCTCCACATTGCCATTGACACGCTGACTGTCCTTCGAGTACGTGTAATTGCTGACCCTATTATGATCCTGAACAGTCACACGGACGAGAGAAAACAATTCGAAAAAATTCATGCCATCACATATTTTGTGCCGCGATTTTACCGAAGAATTTTCCGAAATTTCCGGAAATTCGGAAATGCTCGAAATTAGCCTATGAAAATCGCTACTACATATACTGTGATTTTTCAGTTGCGACAAATTCGTATAAAAATGATCATAGTTGAATCCAAGCGCTTATGACGTCTCACCTTGAAGCTCTCAACATTGACAGTGAAGACAAGTGGTCCCCGATTGGCCCCTGGGACCTCATCCGCAAAACACAACGAATGACTTTTCGACTTCGACATTATAACGCAGCCTAACATCAACATCATCAAAAAAATTCCCCGATAATTTCAAAATTCTTACCAAACCGGTCTCTTCGTTTCCCATCAGATTCGCCCTCAGTTACTTTTCCCTTCACCGACGCCGACGCGCAGCCCTGCTGTTCAGCATCGACCTTGTCCATAGGAAAGGGACAAGGAGAC